TTTTTTTTTTTTTGTACAAAGAAAGAGTTCAATGCTTTTACGTTACAACTGAGCAGAGCTGCCTCCAGAAATATGGAGGCCCTAGACAAGTTTTTTTTCTTCGAATTTTCCATTTTGCCTTTGCGTGGTAATTAGGATTATTTGCAAATAAAATCATAGCAGAAAAGAACCTAATTTAACCATACTATTAAATTAATAAATATTGACATAAATAAAAAATTTTCTTTTTTTTTCTAGATTTTTGGAACTGATAAATTACCTTTGGGTTACAAAGATTTTTAATAAAATATATTCCAACAATCACAAGAACACATGAAGAAGAAAATTAAAATCATATCACTGCAAAAAATATTTATTTTCGCACAATTCGTTATGACTGGACATTATAACATAACAAATGAAATATTCAGGGCCTCGAATTTCCACACAAAATACATATTTTGTCATTAGCTATTTCATTTGTGTAACGAGTCAAGTCTATATTTAGTCATTAGCCCATTTATATGTATAAATAGGCCAAGCCCAACACAAACACATAATAAAAAAAAAAAAAGGCCCCAAAAAAATGGGAGGAATTTGCACCCCTTACTTTAAGTTGTGAAATATATTACACTTGTACATCTATTATAGTAATATTTATAAATTTACTAGAACATGAATAAAATATTGCACTTCTACCTAAAATTTATTTTGTTTTATTTTTAATTTCTCTTTCCTCTTTCTTATATTCTTCTTCTCTCTCACTTGTTCCACTTTTTCGTAACTTCCTTCTCCCCCTTTCTTTTTTTCTCCTGTCTCTTCTTCTTCTCTAATTATTTTTGTATTTTTTTTCTTTCTCAAATTCACAGACACAAAACTCCAACCACCCTCCACAATTGTTCGTCGGGGATCCTCCTCCTGGAATCCCACCGGGTCTTGTCGCGACTGTTCGAGACGGTGGATACCCAAGGAGTGGAAGCAAGGATGCGAGACGTTTACTCGCTGCAGGATCTGATTTTTTTTTT